GACCACCCACTGCAATGTTTTCAGCACCTTGTTGACAAAAGCAGAGTAGGGTGAGGTCATATTACAAATCATCTTGACCTTTGACACCATCGATTCATCAGATCGTTTTTTTTTTCAAACGTTCCCCTTTATCATTATATAGTACATGCTATTTAGTATGTTACTGATTTAATTAAAACATACTCACAGGACCTTTATCAAGGTAATAAAGAAGTAATTTAAGAAGCAGTAAAAAGAAGGGCGACTGTCTGAAATGAAAAAACACGGTAAGTTTATGGTTACCTGCAACCTCTCATTTTCATTTTGGCAAACTTATTAACGTATTTTCTCCAGAAGCTGTTCTAATTTGAATACAGGAAATGCCCAAATTTACATATTTTTTTGATACGTGATATAGGACATGATTGAACACACTTCCGGTAAGTTTTTTGTGGTGTTTCGAAATATTTTTATAACAATTCATCCCACGATTGAAAACAAATCGTTTGCGGGTGTGAATTTTAATGCCGATAGGGAGGCCAATGAAGGCTTTTTATAAACATCGTTATCTGGATTTCGCACAATTAATACTTTGATTTTTTTAAAGGTTATTTCGTCGCAAATTTGTATATGAATTCGATCTCTGCCAGGGATGGTTTGGTGATAGAAAGAGTGGTCAACGCTCTTTTTAACTAATCCATACTTAGTGAAGATAATATCTGTTGCTAGTCTCCTGACATTGAAAATTGAGGATATAGAGAAAATTTGGTTAGTTTTGGTATACAAATACGTGGCAATCGGCCACCCATTATTTAATTGCCTCTACATCATTAAAAAGTGTCAAAAAGTGACAATCAAGAAATAATATTGATAAATATGATCTTCGTTAAAATTTATTTTACCATTCAATGAGCGTGCAGACCTTCTTTAAAATTATTTAGGAAAAAAAAGCGTTTGTCTGTCTACGCCACTTTCGAAATGAAGTCACAATAGATAACAATTTTAAATTTTTGCAGCCTCTCATGAAATATTTCACCACCGTAGTTTAGTTTCGAAATGGCCTCACGCCTACATCCATGATGTGAAGGATTTGATAGGCAATGGGAAAGCGAGAAGTTAAAAAAAGTAATTGCCCTGCACGCCATACGTTACGTCTTGACAAAGCCTAAAAAATGTAAATACGCAAGTTTATTTGTACTGCCCCAGTGCTTTAAGATTCATATTTAGGACTCGTTTTATATTTGAATTATATATTGAATTTGATTGTTAGGATGCGTGAAATCATGTTCCCAGGGTCCCTTTATGCAAATAAAAAAGTTTGACAATCTTGTGTCGTATTTATATGAGAAGAGTCGCAAAAATGATACAATCATTTGGATAAGAAAACCTCTGAAAAGTTGTATATCTACTTTCTAGTGGCCTTTCCCTTGTCAAGGACGTTGTATTTTATCTCTTTCTATATCTTAAGGAATCGTTGAATTACAAATTAAAGTGATTTAAATGAAGAACCAATTACGTGTTTCAAAAATTCAATTTATCCGAGCAAATTGGCTAAATACCATCAGGCACTCTATTGTTACAATAAACTTGATATGGTTTCAACACTAAAACAATTTGGAGAACAAATAAAGAATATAAAAGAAGCGATTTAATTAGGTAAAGGTTGTTTGTGGTAATTATGACCCTTAAGAATTTTAAGACCCCAGTAGAATTGTTTTTTGAATGTGATCCTACCCGCCTTTGAGTCGAATATAAATTAATAACAATAATTCATTTGTCGATAATTTGCGACTTATAAATTTTAATGGCAAATAACGATATCGCGTGTCATTGTTTTGCCAACTTTGTGTCGCCTGAGAATAATGGCAGACGCGTCCGAAATGTCCTTGTCACAATTTTAAATATCATACTAAGCGATATGGGGGCGTGATAGAAGTGAACAATGGTTTTAATAGAATCTTATGATCATTATACAATGGAATTAGGAACCATTGTTTCAATTAATTATACATCTGTGTTTGTACTTTCCACAAATAAATTCAATAAGGACTTCAAGATTCTTGCATGCCGAATAAATCTAATTGAATGGTGCATGCATTCGACAAAAACGTTATGCAAACCGTATGTGATTTTGTGAAATCCAGATGTTACAATCCTCTCATTATTGATATGCAATCTTCATCATTTATGCTTGCTATTTGCTGTCTTTTGATACGCACTCTTTCAATTTATTTAAAGGGGAATATAGATAGAAAACCGCATATCCAAATACTATTGAATTCAATCTTTGTTAGACAAGGGACATAAGACACATCACATTTGCCCCATTAATAATTCATATCAAGTCTAAGTTTCAAAAAGCAATGAGCAATATTGACAACATACAATTGGAGCGTAACGAAGAATGCAAATATGACTGTTTTAAGTTGCAATAACTTGATTATACGTTATCTATTGCCGTTTCATATACTGTACGTGCGAACAACTTCAGTGCGCTCTATATAGCGCCAACTTGCGACAAAATTGTTTGTAATCTTGTGTGAAGTGGATCAATTTTAGATAGTTCAATCTCGCGGGAGACAAAGGGTACAGAACTTAAAATACCTTAATATTTAATTTAATGTAATAATAACTTAATTTTGACTTACATGCTTGATATTTATTGCTCCGAATCACATGATTTTGTTTTAAAACTAATTTCAAATACCTTCATTTTTGGACGTTTAGTGGCCATAACGATCGTTTCAAAATTTTGTTGTTATTGGACACGTTTAGTGGCCATAACGATCGTTTCACTATTATGTTGTTGTTGTTGTTGTTCTTGTTCTTTGACACGTTTTTAAAAAGTCGCTTTTCTCTTCGAATACTGGACCAATTGCTTTGAAATTTTCAGTGGTTAAAGATTAATTTTTTCGCTAGAAGGCTATTACTTTTATTTATTTCAAAATTTTGCGTGAATTCTATGAAATTTGATATTTCGTCTAAAATTTTGCTGTCTTATTTTTTATCCATGGGAACACGGATTTTAGTCAGTGTCATGACTGGCTGTACGTTTTGATTCTGTAAAATTCTTGCTACTGGAAATTCAGAACTTTTTTGAGGGTACCGGTAGCGTCAAAGGTACCGGTAAGGACTGATTCGCTCTGGTCTAACGTGTCCATATATTTGTGCGTAGCTCTCTTGTTGTTATTGTTATTTGTCTCCGTCTCCATTTTTAAAAAATCGCTTTTCTCTTCGAATACTGGACCAATTGCTTTGATATTTTCAGTGGTTAAAGATAAAATTTTTCTCCAGACGGCTATTACTTTTTTTTCGCTATGACGTCATCAAAATTATTGCCACTTTCCCGCACGATTGGTGTATGTATTAAATTAAAAACGGACAGCGTGGCATGGTCTATTTTTAGCACTCGTAGTCTCCCCATATCAAAAAAATTAGGAACTACATAAGCATGGCTCAAGAAATATCTGAATCTGAAAAAGTTCTACAAATCATTTACGCTGACAAAAAATCTCCAGATGTTCCACCAAACTACATCACGTTAGAGTTTATTAATTAAGAAGTCTAACATGAATCATATTAATCCCAAAAACGCAACACATTGATTTCTTAATTACTTCACGAAAAGCATTTAATATTGTATTCGCTTAAACTTCTGTTTGTGTATGATTGTACCCAAAGTTTCAGAAATCTATGACGCTCTGCACAAAAGTTGTGTTCTCTCAGAATATGTTACAAATTACTCCTTGAGATTAAAGACAGACTTGCATCCGTTGCGCAAAATAGTCTACCACTCGCACACACTCCTTTACTGGGATAAAGTTAGACAAAATTGAACAATTTACTCCGTTTTGGTAGAAGTAATTAGGAAATATATGGATCCGTTTTTGTGTCAACCTGTAAGAATGGTTGAACGCAATAAATATTTATATTTTGGTAGATTTTCGGTGTTTAAATAGAACAGACAAGTTCCACACAAGTTTTCATATCTTTGCAAAAGTATCATTTATTTTAAAAACATTTTCACAAGATTAGAGGCTTGCAACAAGGTCTCAATCATATATATATATATATATATATATATATTTTTTTTTTGTATTACATCAATGTAACACTTATTTATTATATATTATAAAATGAATGGCATATTAATAAATCGTCGTTGACGCACGTCGTGATTCCGATCTCACAATGTTAATGTTTTAGTAAATTAAAACGAGCAAGGATATATTTTGTATAGGCAATCATTATCTGCTCGTTGTCTGTGATATTAAATATATATCTATCTTTATTTATATACCTTCTAAATATGACCATTACGTTCGTTACGGCAAAACAGCTATGTTCAACGAAATATTCTTTGTATTTAAAAAAAATGTAACTGAAGCGTTTTTATTAGGATGAGTCCTCCAAACGCTAGCTCTAATTTATCTAAAAGACAATTAGCTAAATTTTTGCTCGTAAACACACAAAATTTGAATCAGAAAAAGTTTCACTTATATATTTATAATATTTAATTTTGTGAGGTGAGTTATTGAAAACTATGCTTTGTATGCTGAGTCAATCGGAATGGCCGCTATACAAATTATCTGATCACTTACGTCAATGGCGCTCGTGCGATGTGATTTTAGCTCTATTGTAGAAGAGGATGATTTTTTTGCTTGTGAAAAGAAAAGATTAGTCGTAAACGAATTTGTTAAAACACGCGACCACAACAAAACACTTGTTTTTATAGTTGAGAATTCAGTTGCTACAACTTATAGGATAAAATCTTGGATACGATTCAAACACTTTTCTACAACCTGTATAAAGACACTTATCGCAGCTGTGAAAAGGGTGTTTTAAAACATCAATAGCGGGGGGAATAGAATGGAAAACTTTTGATACAACTTCTAGAGACATTGATATGTAAAATAGAATGCTGATTAATTCAACAATTATAATTTTTAATGGTGCCGTTTATTGTATAGCAAATAAATTCAGTAATTCAATGAATAAAATACTTTTTGAAAAACGAAATAATGGCGCAATCATTGCCAAACACGCCTTCTAATGTGATTCTAACGCAACCGGGATTTTTCTTGAAGCGAGAAAGACATTTAGAGGATGATAACTGGATCACAAAACCCCTGCATCTACCTCCCGATATCCCAGTCGGACTAGAAGTTCTTCATTCTGTTGAAGAACTAACAATCACAAGAAACACTTCCAAAGGTAAGAATATTTATAAATGCCTGCTTTTTGTTTGCGCAACGAAAATTTTTGAACGTAAATGAATCATATATACTATGTTATACTTATTCTTATGGTCGTTTGCTTCTTGAGTTTAATTACTAGCTGAAATCTGCATCGAAGAGTCTAAAGTATACTTTGAAGAGAATTTATTTAAGTTTAAGTTCTCCGCACATATAAAATGGATTATGAATGAAGAAAATTATGATGTATACAAAAAGTATTTTAAGGAAATGACATATTACTATTATTCTGGACTGTCAAAAACTATGAGTGAAAAATTTGTAATTTCATAAATGTTAAAATGCCAAACTTATATAACAAGAGAGCGACGATAAAATAATTGAAGACAAAAATCCTATAATCAATCGTAGTACCGGTAGCCTATGCGTCTGACACTGAAATGAGCCTGAGTACCGAGCTCGCAATATCAAAACGAAGAACACTGCAATTTTATAAAAAGCACGAGATTTTTTTAAATATAAATTTCGGTATAATAAAAGTAGGGTAATAGCCGTCTGATAACTTCTTCAATCGAGAAAAAAATAGTTCTTCCTCGCACCAAAAAGTCACTTTAAAAACAAAAACTACAATAACAGCAATTACGATTTAGTAAAAGTGACGTCATCATGCAAAACTTTGAAGTAAAAAACGAATCCCACAGAGCCCTGAGATATTTTAAAAATAAATGGAAGTAATTGCATTCTAGCGACAACAACAAGCTTTAACCACTCAAAGGTTCAAAGCAATTGGTCAAGTAGTTGAAGAGAAAGGCAATTTTGTCATAACAACAACAACAACATAATAGCATAACAAAACGATCCATAGGTCGACTTCGAGTCCAATAAATGTACCTATGGACAGTTTTTCTAAATTATTGTTGTTAATTTTGTTGACAATATTCATGATATTCTTGTTATTGGAACAAAAATTCCAAATACGGGATATATCCTGAACGAAGTTGGAACGACCCATAGGTCGACTTCGTGTCCAATAAATATACCTATGGACAGTTTTTCTAAATTATTGTTGTTAATTTTGTTGGCAATATTCATGATATTCTTGTTATTAGGACGAAAAATTCAAATACGGGATATATCCTGAACGAAGCTGGAACTGTGAAACAGCTACAGTAACTTGCCATTATCTGTCTCATGGCTTCTAGTCCTCCTGACTGCCCCAGATTTTTCATGTCCTGTGTGGATGATGATTTATGCTTTAATTCTCAACGTGAATTGAAATACCAAATGATTCGAGTCACAACTGTATTATAAAATCGTTTAAGTACCTGTACCGTGGTAGTCTACCATACCCCATGAAAAGTTTTCGACTTTCGCTAATACGGGATACGCGGATATGCGTCGCGGAACCGCTACAGATAATGCATATTTTTAATTTTGCTAACGTCACTACACAAAACGTCGAAGTGAAAAACGAATCCCATTGAGCCCACATAAATAAATAATAATAATAATAGCCTTCTTTTTACAATAACATAATAACAAAACGATTCATAGGTCCATTTCATGTCCAATGAGGCGTCGGATGTTAAGAACATCGTAGTTTCGTTCTCGTTTCATCTCCACTGCATTCGTAGTACATACAATACAATATTCTTAACGAGTTGTCGTATACCCCAACGTATTAACATAATAGATCTTGATACGAAAACATCAAGATTAAACACAGAATAGGACGTCTATATTTCAAATTAATCTCACTTGAAACTACTCAAGCGAATAGATAGTGATGAATATTCACCACCATTGTTACCAAACTTTCCACAACAAAAGAATAAATGATGCATCGCCTTCATTCAGGTTATTCGAGTTATCGTAAAGTTTCATTTTAGTGTATTGTTATTGAACTTGAATATATTTGGTTTGAAAGCGACCAAATATTGGACACTTAAGCATGCCGCACAGGCAAGGGCTTTTAGTACACTGATACTAATAATAATAAAAACTAATATTATTTGGTTAAATAAGAAAAGCAAATATTATAAATATAGGTAATAATAAATATAATAAAACACATATGGTTTTTTTTATGAGGTACAATATGTGGAGGAAAACTGCATTACACTCTGTCTGGGAAACACGGAAAGCAAGTGTACGCAGGCGTAGAAGGTAAAGTGAGAACTACATTTTTATTACTTCTTGATGAGTTATGCCTAATCGATTTTATATAATTCCATATAGTTTTTAGTTTTGCTCAAATAACATCACAGAGCTCAATATTTCCAGCATCAGACTGTAGTATGTTACATACAACTAGATGAAAAGAGTGGTGTTCCATTGAAAATCGATTTTTCAACTAATTCACGCAAACTCATACAGAAGTAAATGGTACTTACTCATCACTGAGCAAATTTACAACGATCAATGACATGCGAAAAGTTATTATCAGACGCTATCATGAAAGATAATAAACTGTGAAAAAGATAATGAATTATGATGATTTTAATTACTTTGAAGGTATTTCAAAAATCAAGATGTTTGATTGATGAATTATATCGTTCAGATCCTAATTGTTGCTGTACATTCTGTTGTGGACCTTCAAGGTCTTATACAATACATCTCAACAATAAATGGGATAAAGAAATGCTACGATTGGTCAGACCATACAGGTGTGACGGTGAATGCACTCTTTGTTGCTGCTGTCCATTTGCCAGAATGCGTCTTGATATTATATCTGGTTATGATGGACGGAAAATTGGAAGCGTTACACAGAAGTAAGATGCCAAATTTTAAATTTACAGTTTGGACTATATAATTTGTAGATATTTATAAATTCTAATATTTATTTTATTTCCATCAGTTAGGTAGGAAAACTTAAACATCAATATTGCTTTATCAATGAAAACCTATGCAGAAAAAGCAGTAAATTCGATTATTATTCTAGTTTTTATTTATATCATCGGTCTAGATTTCTTTAGGTAAAGATGAATATATGACTCTCATAATATCATGAAGGTATCGGAGTACAGCCATTTAAAAACTACTCAAATCTGGTCATTTGATTAGTTCTTCATATTTGAAGACAAAACATATGTGCAAAATAACATTCTCTAAACTCACAATAGTCCAAGTAGTTCCTTCTCACTTTAAAGTACTAACCATTACCAAAATTGTGATTTAACATTGTTGCTTTTTTGGTTGTTGTTATTGACTTATTTTATTCGGCAGATTAAGCTGTTTCAAAAACTTGTTCGAAGCTACCTCGAAATCTACAGGGGAAAAATATAAAATAATGGGCAATGCATTTCCTTGTCGGTGTTGCATGACGTTCTCCTTCAAAGTGAGTAACACAACAAATGAATTACTGTAATAGTCACTATCAAACTTTAAAGACATTCCAATCTTTAAAGGCTAAATAAAAAAGATTGGCCTAGTAGCTATAGAGAAACGCAATTTTTGTCTCAGCTGCAACAACGAAAACATACCATCTAAAAACAGCAAAATGATGCACTATAGATTTATAGAAGTATACTAGGCGCCAGAAAATCCCCATTCAACACACAACTGCACTTTTGCCATAATGTGTGTGTGAACTGAATATACTTTGCAGAATTATTTCTGGTCTTTGATTCCGAATTTGTTTAACATTATGATTTTTCAGCCATTGATCAAGATATCGCATTTTATTAGCCGTTGTTCTGTGGAGGAAATTATGTGTGTCAAATAATTGATTAATTTTCACAGATCAAAACTATAAACGACGAAGACGTTGGTGAGATATGGAAGAAGCGTTACAACGATAAAAATCCGAACATTAGTTCCTCTCATGAAACGTTTGGAGTCGTGTGTTAGTATCATACGATATAATATTTTTGTGACATTTTTTTTTTGGTAATATACATTAGATTTCTAACTGTTCTAGTGGTTCTTCATCTCTCGAATCGGATGCCACATGGAGCATAAAATGATATAACAAATTAAGTCAAATATTCATAGTAATAAATAGAACTTTACGTTGTACACATTTTATTATAGCATGGATGGTCCATATCCGTCCTATTTAGTAAAATTCAATATTAGTGAAACGTTTATATGGCGGTAGCATATTCTTCTGACTTTGCTACTATTGCTCTTATTAATTTGTTGTCATATGAAAATTTTCCAATTCAAATCTTCTTACAAGACAATGTATTCTTCTAACTAATATTCTAATGATAAAAGTGAATTTAGCTAGTATATTTTAAGATCAATACATATTTGTATGTTTTTATACAGTTCCATCAGAAGCAAGTGTGGATATGAAATCAACGTTGATAGGAGCTGCATTTCTTGTGGTATGTTTCTGTATGTTTACAGTAAATTATATACTTATGTATGTAATATTCCTCAATATTAACCCTGACGGTAATCAATTTTATTGGAATATTTACCAAATCACCACGCCACGACTAATTGAAATTTTTTTCACAGAACCATACATATTTTGAGATGAGTTGAAATAGGATGAAACAAACATGCACAAAGTAAACCTGTGATTTTGCTTCATGGTCTCCACTGAAGAAATCCGTCACCAATTGTATCACATATGTGCCTAAAACAAAATTGTTTTGGATAATCTAAGCATAAAATTTGTAAAATTCCATTTTATGATTTGTAAATTGAATTCGTCACCTTTCTAGCTTACAAATCAGATTTTATCGTCCGGTGAACGAATCTAGACGTATTTAATTGTTTGATTGTAAAATTTGATCACTGCTTGCATCTTTAATTCAGGGATTTATAAATATATATGTATGTAGTTGCCAGAATCCCTTCAACATGAGGATATTGTAAACTACTTTGTCCAAGTGGTAGAAGAAGCAAACGGTAATCGTGACGAAGACAGTCGTTTCAGCTTTAAATGACATGCGATTCTCATTATTTTACTGCATGATATAAATAAACAATACAGGATGGCACTATTCATTAAAATAGTTTCTATAACTAGGTATCTTTGTACATGTGTCATATTTGTGGCATTGCAAGACTGTGATCGCAAGTTGATCTTTCGCTTGCCGCACCGCTCATAAGTATGGCTAATTATTTTCAATATTTTTTTTCTTTTGTACGAATTCGACAATTTACAATCGCGTGATTGTAAAAGTATTCGCAGACATCAAATATAACAGTTGAAAATATATTGATGCATTTAATATTTTTATATTATCTATTTTTGATTTCGGTAAATGGTAATATAATATATATCAAGTTATAACATATTTTAAATTTAAATATGTATATATATATATATATTATGATTTTGTGTATTGCTTTTTGAAGAAAGACATAAAATTCAAGCTTCTAATCTGTAGATTTGCAATGATAAAGTATTGGAAGAATTTTTCTTGTCTCAATGATCGAAACCTGGCTAGGACGACCATGTGATAACTGATAAGTGTATCTGGATAAGGCTTTGCTTGTTAAAATAACGCGAACAAGCCAATATAGTCAAGTTTTGCATTCGAATTTTTCAACAATATATATAAATAATAAACGCGTTATTGCGAATATTTTAAATCACTAATTTGGTTTCCATCTTTTCTCAATATGCAAATAATTTTTGATATCCGAGCAATCCAAAAATACTAATCCCTTGAAGATATAATTGTAACTCATACAAAACGTTATATACACATCTCTACTTACTATATTGTGTCGGGCAGTAACTTTCCCAGCGTTAAAATCAAATGTCCTCCAGCAGAATGTCTGATAGAAATACATAGGCGTCTCAAATCTTATTTACGATGGTAGTGACTGAAAAGTACCGTATTTCCCGGATAATAAGTCGCTTTTCTAGACCCAATTTTTGGTCTTTTGGAAGGGGGGTGTTTTCTGGGGCGTTTCATTAGACAACTCTGCTTTTTTTTAATCTTTCTGTGGTCCGCTTACTTTTCGCAGGAGTCTTCTCAAACATGATTTGTGTTTACCTTATATTTGGGTCTAAAGGTCTGCCAATCGTGATATTTGATTAACTTTGTACTGCCAGCTGTTATCTGTCATATTCTTTTTAAAAACTCCATTATAATCATAACTGGCTGGTGTCATGAAGCACTCCCTATTTTGGCCGTTATGGGTACTTTTAAGACAAAACACAGGCTGTTAACTAACCCATGGAGGTACAGTGTAATACTTATTACACTGTAGGGTATTTCAACATTGGGGTTAATAGGTTGTCCAAAATGATTGACGCCTTTTAACTTAAAATTACAGTTTTTCTGTTAAGAATAAATAATTTTGTGAGTATGATTCTACCAAGCAAACATGAACTGGTTCTAATCATATAAAATTATTAGTACATAACTGAGCAACAGAGAATCAATTTTTCTACCCCTCGTATTGGAGAGTTATATGAAAAAAAAAAATTTTGAGTGCTAAAATATACATCGTCTCATTTGCGGGGTAGACTTATTAGCCGGGAAATACGGTATATGAATGTGCAAATGTTTTTTATGCTGGAAAAAAACTGGCGGCAGCAATATTTTGAAGGTATTGAATGATGTGGAGCATGAATAAATCCCAAAAATTAGTCTCAATTTAAAAAAAAACATAATAATCCTCCCGGAAAATCATTTTTTTTACAAATCAGTGTTTTGTCAACTCTTTCTTCGTGCCCGAACTATTCATCGTGCTATGTTTATAATTACATCAACGTTGTACAATAAATTTTTCATTAAATATGTTCAAACGGTTTTAATCTGATTGTCTTCTGCTTACCCCATATCAGGCTGTGTATATTACTACATATGAAAACGTTTTGAGATAACGTGCTCTTGATTCTCTGTTCTATGCGTCACTTTGTGATTGCGATAGTGTCATTTATTATTAAGATTTGCCTTGGATACAGTTCATCTTGGGGGTGCTCGTTTCGAGAAATCGGTCATGTTAATTTAGCTTAGGTTCTATTAAGTAATTGGGCATTGTTGCTTGTTATTGTAATTGGTATTTTATCATTTTTTATTGCTCGTTTATAGTGCATCAGTGTCGTTATAAATTAGTCTTATCGTAGGACTTCAAGTTTTTATGCTGTGCAACATTTTACCCCTTAGTGGAGATTGGTGAATACATTCCAAGGATCTCGTTACCTCTTAACAATTTTGGTTTTGCAGTACTAGAAGCTGAGAGCTTGCGCATAATTTAAAACCGCGTTTGAAGCTTCTATCTCTTTTTATAACTTTTGCAAACATCCATTTGGTGTTACCCATGGTGCACCGTGTAGCTGAATTTCAGCGGTATATTGGCTCGATCATTGCCAAACACGAATTAAATGGAACTTTGGCTTACTTGGATAATGCCACTGTTTATGTTACGAGTCACTATGAGAGACCGCAAGACTTTCTTTCTGTTTTCAAAGATTGTGAGTTAACCATAAACCTGGATAAATTCATGTATTATGTTACCGAACTTTTACTACCGAGTCATCTAGCATCACATAACTCTATTAATCCTGATCGCCAGCATTTCAAATCATTGCTCGACATGAAGTATTATTTTTTTCTTAGCAACCAGTATGAGTTCTGGCACTTCTTTGGTATCCTACTATTCCATTCTACTATTATAAATCCTACATTAATATGTAGTGTTCAAATTCCCTGAATTGTCTCTCGAAAACGTCAAGCTAAAACTGTCGGAACAGCATTGCATCGATACTAATATATATGCACATAATATATAGTGAAATCCCTAATTCTTAAATATAACAATAAAGAGCTATGCTCAAATATGTGGATACGGAGGGCAAAACGAACGTGTCCTACAAAAACAACAACAGCATAATAACCATAATCCGTGTCCAACGAGGTGAAAATTGCCTTGCAGCGCCATCTTGAAGCGATGCTGTTCTTGCATAAAAACCATTGCGTTGAGTTGAGGACATTTTGTATTCAAAAGTTTTATTCATAAAGCTATTTCAAGGTTGCCGGTGACAAAGACCGAATGATCATTTTGCGGAAATTGAAACTAGATTTCTGCAATTATATTGTTTTTCATCGAGCTGGAATTGATAATGTAGTAGCCCCTGATACAATGTCTCGAACAAGTTGTCTTTCTTGCAATCCTTATTTTGACCTAAAAGTATTCATGAACACCGGAAATTGGAAGATTATAGCATTTCATCTGAGAATCTTCTTTTTTCTACCAAAGATGTAAATCGTTTTTGCTCTCAACTGTCAGCAATGTGCAGAGCCAAGGCGCGATATATATACAATACAGGCAACTAACTTTGGGTGGCCCGCGCCCCCATTCACCCTGAGGTACCATTTTACTTCTTTTTTTGCATTGTTTATTTACAATGTGTACTTTAAGGTAATGGAAAAATAAATTGTTGATTATTAACTACAAGTATGATCTGATCAGAGCAACTTGTTTGCTGGAACAAATCAGCATAGATTTCAAGGATCTTGTTTGCGGTAAGAAGCAGTTTCTTTTGATAATTTTTGACAAATACAGTCGTTTTCCATTTACTTATCTTCGTTCAAGATACGACTTCTACAACAGTGATACAGTGCCTTTCTTCATTATTTTCAATGGTGGGATTACCTGAATACGCGCTTAGCGATAGAGGCCGTACATTTCTACCAAGAGATGTTACGGAGTTGCTCGCAAAATGAAGCGTTGCTAACAGCAATTTAACACCGCGCAACAGGTAATGCGCAGTGCGAATGAATCAACCAAACGTTATGGAAGAATATAAAGCTACTTCTTACCAGAAAAATTACCAAAAGCCTCCTGGAAAATTGTCTTACCCGATGCGTTACATAACGTAAGATCTTCACTATGTACGTCTACTAATTCGACTCCTCATTAACGGTTATTTGGTTTTCAACGACGATTGATGCTGGGTCAATCTGCTCCCCTATTGGCTACTATCGAGAGGTAGTGTATTACTTCCAAATTGTTTGAACAAAAACTGAACCTCTCTGTGATGTGGTGGATTTTCTGAATGCCAATTACAAATATGCACTGGTACGTCACTCAGATGGAAGACAAACGGCTTTTTATGTGAAAGACTTGCTCCATGTCCTGGCCAATTGAAAGCTGACCCAACTGCGACTACGTTTCACAAAAATGATGCTGATTTGCCAGAAGTTCGAGATTGATTGAAAATTACTTTGGGTGAAAACTAGGAAACGTCTCTCTGGTAGAATACAAAAACGACCGGTTTGACATGGAGAAAAAATCTCTTAACCCTTTTAGTTAACTTCACTCATGCGTGGGGGAATAAGTAGCAGATTTACTTGGATCCATTTTCCCTTGTAAGGCCAAACCAATAGTTGAACAAAAAGTAGTTTACAATATTGTCATGTCCGAGAGTTGTCGAAAATTAGTTCTCAAATATTTTCCAAATACGACATTCTGGAAGAATAATAGAATGACGAAACTGCTGTCCTAAGTTGTGATTCTGGCAACTACGTGACAATCCAAGCAGAAGTGCTTAAAAAATCAAACGACTAGTTCTAAGAAAATGTGAGAATACTATTTAAAAAATTATTGAAGTAGTTTTTTGCTTATTTCAATAACACGAGTCGATCAAGTTTTTTTTTATTCCAAGGATTTGCTCAAAATTATCTTCCGTGCCTCAAATCAATTTCGTCTGTATGACTCTCGAACAAAGTATAAATAAGTTGCATTTCCATTTGTTTGTTTGTTTTAGACCCCTGAGGTGTCAAGATTTATTGTTGTAAGGATTATATCACATTAACAATAAACTCGATCGAAATATTTATCAGCTAGCAGGGGTGGCCAACCTTTCACATACCATGCGCCACGTTTTAAACATAATGTTTCAGATGCGCCGTAAATCTCTTGTATTCCCACGCCTAATGTCCGCTTCTTGTTGAAATTATATAAATTTATAATACACACTTATATATACACACGTATATGTAGTTTTTACAATTTACAACTTCACATGAATAGAAATTAAGCAAGGAAGTATAATAAATAAAACTGATCAATTTTATTTAAGTACCGCCTTTATGAAACAGAGTACGATTGATTACGAAACAGGGAACCATTGTGACGCCATGCTTCAGGTAAAAACTACAGCCTTCCTGAAAGTAGGTGAAAAACGCATTCTGTCTTATGAGCATTACGCAATAAAGCTGTTTTTAAAAACGAAGAGAAAAAGGTACGATTAAGAAGTAAAGTTAGGCGTAATATTGTGACAACAGGCCTTTAGTATCAATATCTACTCTACTCTACTCTACCCTCGATTCTAATTGGCCTTTGCTAATCAGCTGTTTGGCCTAGCGTCGCGTGATTTTACTCCAGGCTTCTTCGAGATTAGTACTTGCGTCACAGCAAGCGATTTTACGGTTCGCTTTTGTTGACAACGGTCATTTGAAGTTTGGATGAAAAAGGTGGTATTTAGGGGTCATTTTCAGCATGTTGTGGGATGATTTATAATAAATTTTTAGGCTTGGGCAATTCAACTGGTTGTTCAATGGTTGTTGGGAGATATTTGGGAAGTCTGGGCAATGGAAAATCCATGTTTCAAGCTGATAAATGACGATTTTCTATTTTTCCAGAAGTTCTGAACTTTTTACTTCAGTAGGGAAAAAATAGTAAATTTTACTAATTTTTGCTAAAAGTCTAGAATGAATGTCATAAAGTCCGTCCAAAAGCTAACGTCGATAATCGCCTGTTGTTTCTAATTCCAATAAGCCGTAAGTGGGCGACGTGGAGTAATGAGAATAGATTTTAGGTACAATCAAAAGTCACCATGTAAATCGCAAAAAAAAGGCTTGGCGTGGAGAAGCCAAGTGCAATTAACAATTTTGGCATGAAATGGGTTAAAGATGCAATGCGCCACCTCTAATCATGCAATGCGCCACGTTTGACGCATGCGCCATAGGTTGGCCACCCCTGAGCTAGACGAACGGCATTTATTAAACAGCATACAGTAAGATTCAGCACAATATAAACAGTAAACACACAGCTAACTGGACAGCAGTCCCGACCCGGACAAAGAAGCGTATTGGCGATGTACGTCAGATATTCTCATTATTTCATCATAATCACTTTAAAGAACACTACGTGAACAAGTCTGTAAAATCATATTACCGCAATACGTGGCCGAGCCAAAACCGTCAAAGCGGGTTTAAGACAACCAAGTAACCAACTATTGCGCAGCTGTGAATCACAAAGGAATCAAACAAATTAAGGCTTAATTTTGGCTTGCGGACCACACATGTTAGCCAAAGTCGCACTTTCAAATGAGCGCATAAATGTGGTAGGCTAATCAATTTGTATTTTAAACTTGGTATAAAACGAATACCGGTAAATCATCATAGTTTTATTTTAGATGCAAACACGTTTGATTTTTAAATTCTGTCGAGGAGGAAAATTCATAATACCGTATTACTTTTGCATTGATTTTAAATACGGAATCATATTGTTTGTTGAGGTTTCCATTTAAAGTTGCAAACTAATGGCCGTTGAAGAGCATCTGTATTCCCAAACTTACAACGGGCCACACCTCATTTATCATCGACGAGTTCAAAAAAGAAAAAAGACTGCTTGTCCGGCTATATTTTTTTACCTTCATGCGTGCATTGAAATCATTCGAGAAAAATTCATTTAGACCGTTTCTGGGCTTTTATTTACTTATACAGTACTGCTATACTGAAAAACGGAAAAGAACAATTTACAAGATGTAGCAATCTTGACGTACGCTAACCGAATAAAACCCTCGCTTTGCCACGCAATTATTAACATCTTTAGATCGCTCGGCGATGGTGCCACGTCGGCCACATTAGTTAGCGCTAACTAGGGATTTGTTCAAAAAGATTTGTTTTAAAACAATTGTTTTGCCACAAAAGCAAACCATATAATACAATTTTAATAGTAGTTTCTTCACTTGAATAATTGGTTTATTGAAAGTCTTCTTAGTTTTCATTGTCGAAGATGTGCTAGAAAAATGTTAAGCTGTTAGATATTAGTCGATCATTACTGATTTTAACATTTTAGGGAAAAAAACATGAACAATTTTGTTTAAACTTTTATATATAAAATTCCTATTTGTCCTAGTGTTTTATCAACATATCCGGTAAGAACATATTATGCTATTTTCCAAATAACTCCATTACATAGCATTTCAACTCACTTTAAGTAGATCATAATCTGGTTCAGCAAGTTTTTCCATTACTTCGAAATGATCTAGTACAGGATATTCAATATATTTTGCATCTACAGATGATTTTTTTAATGCCTGTTAATGGTTAAGAAAATTATCTATTTAATGAAAAAAAAAATGGATCAACAAAATACAGAACAAAATATTTTTTTTCTAGATGTTGGAGAAAACAATATATTATATATAACGTATGTACAACGATTTCGTAATAAATTAACAGTGTTGTCTGAGGCGGCGGCCTGTCAGCAAATATTCGTGCGTTAGTCGTAATAGTAGGCTAGATATGTCAGGTACGGCCTCATTCAAGGTTCAGCAACAGTAACGAATTAGGAAGGCTACACTGAACAGGAAACCCAACATATCCTAATGTTCAACCAGCTGAATATACAGAGAATTGTTTACACACATCGTCTTTAACCCAGATTTTTGTTGACAAAATCGTGATAAATTGTTGTTCAGTTGTGATAGCAATACCGCCAAGGAACGCTGATGTTTAATTGTACCTTTATATAATCCCTCGACTGTTCGCAGAATTTTGGAGGATCATTCTCGCCAACAACTGCTATAATTTTCGTTCCAAATTTCTTGATGTTTTTAACAGCTTTGTCAATATGAAGTGCAGGACTCAGGTCAACAATTTCTTTTCTAAAACATATTAAAGATATGTCGCAAAAGTAACTAACTCACTGAATTGTTATTTTAACAATCTAGATATAGCCGAAGATCACGACGTCAGGAGGACCTTCCACTGATTATCACATTAGATTTTTCTCCGAGCATTGATTTCCTCTCTTCATTTTACAAAAAATGCCTAATCAGCAATAAGGTACCAATGATGTATTGATTGGTTAAAAACATAGGCTCATATTTGTGATATTGCATGATGTGTGTCGGTTTTCATAAATCAAAAAAATTAATTGCCATTTTGTTTTCCGAGGATTTTTAGTTTTGTTGCAGTAATTCCGAAACGGCGACGATAGACTAGACTAAAATTAATTACCAGTACTTTTTGACGGTTTATATTGTGAATCCAATTGATGGTTATAAACATGTAAACGATTCTGAAAGCACCAACTTGCAAAAAAACTTTTAAAATACGCATCGGAATTTTTCAATAGTAAAGTAGAAAAAGATTGAGTTGGCTAACTAATTAGTGCTCTCATTTATTTTCTGCGTGCACACGCATCCCAATGGTATAGTATCTCAATAACCTGAAAAAGTTGTAAATAATGGATATTTCTCGTAATTGGCTTTAGCATTAGTAACAAATATACAAGAATATATAAGTAGATCATCGGCTTGTCTACTCGGCTAATCTAGGAGTTTGCTTAGAGCAAACATACTAACGTGTACAAGCCATCATAGCCATTTAGCAGTGTAAGAATAGCATTTAAATTTGCAGCAATCTGCATATAAATGTATTATTATAAATGTTTCGAAGCAATATTTTGGTTTATGTATATTTCTCTATTTTCAGATAATTTTTAACTTTCTGCTCACTTTGTCAATTGAAGATCTTTATTATAACTGATATGTACAAACGGGCCGAGATCCATTACTCCGCTTATTGGAACGCTTTTAGTTATAGGAACAAGATCTTTATATTGTGTCGGACAGTAACTTTCCCAGTCTGTAGCCAATAGCATTGAAATCAAATGTCCTCCAGCTGAGTGCCCAATAAACGTCAAGTTCGGACATTTTGGGAATCGTTTTGATAGAAATATGTAGGCGTCTCGAATCTCATTTACAATGGTGGTGACCGTAACTAAAAAAGGAATCCGGCTTAACTTGAAAAGAGAAGCTATCTACTGTGGAGATCAGTCAGCGAGTCATAGTCAATCACAACAATTTGCTGAGGCAAGCAAGTACTGGAATAGGTTTGAAGTTAATTATTATTTTTTTATATATGTAGTTAAGTTATACAATATCAAATACTGAATTTAAACTTCCATGTAAAATTCTGTCTTTAGGAAAATGCTTCAACCACTACCAAATTTGTATAAGGTTTGCCAAATACTCTCTAGTCATGAATCGGATTACCACAAATTATAATCAGTCGTACCATCTGGAGCTTGATCGTATCCAACAATCACTCCCATCCATCCTCTGGTTACGGCAGGTTGTGCAATATGCAGGTACATATCTCGACTAAACATGTACCAATAGTAACTGATTAGTACATACATTAAATTAAATTTACCTCGTTATTGATCACAAGTCCCAAACTGTAGTTTATTTTCTTTTATAACCCGAAGTTGACATGAAACCGAGTTAGACCAACATTGAGAGAAAAATAGCTATTACCCCATTTAACGAACCAGAAGGCGCACCGTCAATAAATTGACAGATTAGGGTTTTGGCCATACATAAAACGGATTCGACTATCAGACTAAACCGGTAATGGTACTGAGAAAAAGCAGTACCTGTTACATACATTGGGCTCACCGGCACGGCCGGTTTTTGAGGAAAATAGATTTAAAGTGCGCCTTATGTTCCGTAAAATACGATATGAGCAGCAAACCCGCCAACAACCTAACGAGAATATCGGTCAGAGACCGAAGACTTATCGATCGGGGATCCCCCAAAACAGCGCTCTTACTCCATAGTGACACCTTGTGTCCCATCACTAATTAAATAATAACTCGCTAATTATACGACATAATTCATCCAAAATTAATAGGCTTCTGGTCCCACATATGATGAATGCACATGCAGAATCTGAAGCAGATTCAATCTCGCTTTCGTGAGATATCGCATGCATCTAACAGACAGACAGACATACAAATACCTACCAACATACTTACCGATTAAAATCGATAGGTAACGGTCAAAATCGATAAGTAGTGAGTGTTAAATGAAAACGGAAAATTAATCGTATGTACTCTTTATACATTTTGATAGTATCTTAAAGATACTCATATGCGCACCATACTATAAAGACATCCTTGCAGAATGACATTTTCAGCTGCTATTTACTGTGAAACCAAATATGAAATTATGTTGATTTTGAATAAAATGAAATAATAAAGCAAAATTTACCCGGTTAAAATCCAATATCCTCCGTGGACAAAAACCATGATCGGTGCATCTGGCAACAATATTTTATAAACATATTACTACGAACAGCTTATAAATAAACAATCGGGAGTTTCAAGACGAAAGAATGAATGTCGAAAATTTACAAAAAAATTACCAATCACCAATCAAACGTTGGTTGTATTTATAAGTTTGTGGTATATAGTTATATGCAATATACAAAGCATTGTTGTAACTTGCTCTAGTGCCGGTTTGTACAAGTGACATGTAACCAAGTACAAATATGCACAATGATATGTACAGTAAGTTCCAGAAAATTGATCAGTTTGTGGTCATGGGCTATGATATTTTTAAATTTATATCAGTAAAGTTGCTAATGTCAATCAGTAATAAAGGTTGTGTTAGCCAAGAAAACTCATATCTCAATTATAAATATTCTAGATATTCTTACCATCACTAACTCCTGGTTTTCGGACTATATCCATACTTTGTTTAGGTCCATCTCCATATCTGACATTTTGAACTAAATTGCCGTGAGCAGTTCGAAAATTGTCAGAACCAGTATTCAGGATCTCTACGCAAGTTGGAATCGGTGTCTCCCGAAGTGACCAATGCGCCACGTCATACTGAGTATCAATTTCGGCATCGAATTGCTGTAGTAATTAAAAAAAATGGTTGTTCGTACTAATGTATGAGGGTGAACTCTAAAATATAGTGCTCAAGAGCCAAAATAAAGTTGGAAGGATTCATTCTTACCGGATTTTCGTTAACTGCTTCTGACATGTTGAAAAACCGAATGCTATTACGCAATATGTTACTCAGTAACAGGCCTGCAATTATAATTTAGTAACAGTTGACAACTATTTTGGGGCAATACTATTATTACTCATTATATTGAATCGAAAACAACATGAAAGTAACCTGAAGGTTAAGTATGTGCTTATGATAGCATGCTACAGTAAATCAGATGCAATATTTTGAAGATGAGGTACATGATTTTTTATATACTAACTCGGAGCATAATTTAGAAATAAAACTTCCGTAATACTTCCTGTCTCTCAACTGTTTTTTTTTATTCTGCTATTGTCAAAATATGTCATATTATTGCATAAATTTTACTTTCCTCTTCATAAACTCGATAGAAGTACTATTTTTATTGCAACGCTCTGTGAATGGCGACGAGAGAGTTTGATGATGGATTGCTGTAGCTATATCATTTACAGTGTTGATATTGTTTAATGATTAACTCAAATAATTTGTTACGCTAGACTGCTAGAGACTTATTTGAGGAAGCACCAAAAATCAGCGATGCTGCAAAACAGTAGCAATATCAAAACTAACAACAGAGTAATGCACAAACGCATGGGTACAAGGTTGTATGGAGACTTCCGCCACCGAAATATACGCAGCAGGAGCTTTTCAAAATCTTACATCCAAATTTTGGCACGTCGAAGCAATCATTCAATGATATATATTGTATCAACTGCACATATATATGTATAAACATTAATTAGACCGATGAAAAAGCCTTTTCAAACAGTTTGGCATGAAAAGCGAGTAAATTGATTATTAGGCAAAATCACTGGACTCAGGAAGAAATTCTTCGGATAAAAAGTTGACGTAAATTGCATCGAATAGTAAAATGCATTTGGAGACTTTCTACGCTATGCAGTAACAAGTTCATACCAGTCCTGAACCATCTGAGAGTGTCATAAACTCGAAAGGCCACAACAAACGGAAAAATTATGGTGTTTACAAACTTTGGCATCTTTTTACAAAGCCTCGACTCCTGTGAAAAGCGTATGGATACGGCAGACTAACCATCAGTTTATTGCATAATAAAATAAAAGAGAGACGGGATAAGGTACAGTAACGACGATATAACACATGTTAAACAATGAAACTTGGAAACTTAATAAAAATCACACAACTCATGACTAGATATGGGTGGGGAAAGTTAACATAGCACGACACAACTTTATGAATGACCGAATCTAGTCAGTGTATTCTACAATATTTGAATCTGGTTTCGACACAGAAAAAGAAGATGCGGGTGGTACAAAGAAAGAGCAAATGACTTAAAAAAACTTTGCTATAAAGTGTAACTGTAAGCCATGTAACTACATACTTGAATATTATATATATGTTACAAATTTTCAATTGTCATTTGCAAAATTATCGAATGAGCACCAAATTAATTTTTGACTGTGGACTTTAATCCTTGAAGGAGCACAGCCACAGGTATTTTTTCACCTGCACAAAACAATGATCTCATATACTTAAAACAATGAGATCTTCGATATTCCCACGTAATCTATGCCATTCCAATCTATTTTACTAGATATTTACAATACATTTGACCTTAATTACTGCGCCGATGCTTTAAATCAGAAATAATAATAATCTTCCCCAACCAAAATCTCTCCTATCTAAAACGAAACGAACTAGTTTCTGGTTGGTCGAAAATATCCTTCTTTCCGAAAAAGTATTAAATAAAGATAGAGGATTAATCCACTGAACGGAGAAATACCAAAAGCCTATAATTTATAATTTGACCCATTTATAATATATATATATATATATACAGTCATAAGGAGAAATGGGATGTAGACGTGATTACATGGTGGTTTAAAAGGTATTAGATAACTTAAGACAACTCCTAAAAGAACATCGAACAAGATCGTAACAAGATCAGAATGCGAATGCTAGCTAAATATTTCTTACCACCATCAATCCGGTCGGCGCTTATTCACTACTCTATTTTATTTTATTGAAATCCAATAAATGGGTTTACAAACAAATTATATGAAAAGATCAAAATCATCACACTAACTCCAGCAGAAAAAGGATATTCTGAATTGGTTAATTATCATAAGTTTCAAGATACCTGAAACATATGTAATGTATTTCTGCACTTAGTCAGTTGCCACATACCAGCCGTAACGATTTGGCACAACTGCACGTTGTTAAGTTTCACCGCCACACATGTATTACAGACACGGGCCAGAGGGAGGAATGAGGATAAATAGACTTACATACATTATGGTATGCCTTACTTTATGTTTTTTTACATGGCCCGATTAATAACATTATGCACATGGTGTCTTTAAAATACCCACCACAGCTGTCGATCGGTTAAGCACCGCAAGCACGTATTGGCGGTTTTAACATGACCGCACACCACTACGATCTGCTGCTACATAGGTGTTGACGCCACAGCCACAAGTGAAAAGGCAATAGAAACACTTTAAAGACCTATTTAAAAACGGCATAAAAATGTACTTATGGAAATGTCGTGACCTAATATGCATCTCAAGCTCTAAAACCCTAAATTTTTACCTTTACCTCATCTAAATATGCAGTAAATCCAAAACAGTTTAGAGTTTACCAATAATTAGTTTATGCTGAAATATTCTATTTTGTATACCAATGAGAAATACAGAAATTCATTTAAACCTGAACACCGCATATCAGCAACAGACTGTTTGTCAAAGCAATATCTGTGAGTTTCTGCAGTTGTGTGAATAAATTTCACCATAAGCATTAAAAAGATTTTATACTCACCCCTAAAGTTTCCTGTCCAACCATAAATCTATAAAATGTAATATTTGTTATCGCATTGCACTGCATTGCATTTGGTTAAGTTAATCAGTAATAAAAAAAACGTAAGAATAAAGAATACTAGATAACGTTCGGAGACCGCCGACTTATCGATCTTGCGGTTTCAATTCTTTCGCTCTGACTCAGTACACCGCGTGTCGCATCACTAATTAGTTAATTACTCGCTAATTATACGACATAATTCATCCAAAATCAATGAGATTCTGGTCCGAGATATGATGAATGCACATGCGAAATTTGGAGCAGATTCCTCCCCGCTTTCGTGAGAAATTGCGGGTATCTAACAGACAAACAAACAAACAGACAAATACCTATCAACATACTTACCGTAAATTTTAGTTATTACATATCGATCTCGATCGGTAAGTATGTTGATAGGTATTTATCTGTTTGCCTGTTTGTTTGTTTGTTTCACTTTCGTATGTTACGAGATATTTCACAAAAGCGAAGTTGAATCTGCTCTAAATTTTGCATGTGCATTCATCAAATTTCGGACCAGAAGCCTATTTTGGATAAATTATGTCGAGTTATTAATTAATTGGTGATGGGACAGGCGGTGTCGCTATTGAGTCAGAGCTAAGGAATCGAAACCGCAGTTTCTTTTTTTTTCTGTCTTTCGTCGCAGCGAACGATCGATAAGTCGGCGGCCTCCGATTGCTATTTCGTTTATCCACTTAAGTCGTTTATCTGCATCTTATTATTCCAATAACACAAAATCAATGGTTTAGATTAGAACAATCGACTTTTTTCGTCGACAAACTTCAATATATTTCATTCTTTTCAATCGTTTCTTCCAAAATCGAGAGCAACCTATTTTGATATCTTTTAAATCAGATTTTTACACACACACGATTTGAATTTATTAACTTGGTATCGACAACGTCTAGAATTGATTTATTTAATTAGATACCAGACTCGTTAACAGAATTCTTTAGGGGTATACGCGTCGATGCAGTAGTTCATATACGGTACACGGTTGATTGTGATTAAAATAAGTAATCTCTCTCTAGCCTATAAAGCTTTAATCAAACAAACCCCTGCAACCGCGAAACATGGAATCTGTAAGTCTTCATGAAACGAGTAAGTGGTATATTAATTATTGAGTATTGTGTTGGTTGGTTGGGTATAGTGTTGGCACAAGACTTCTAGGCGACCGCTTAGACGTAATTATCCATAATTTTTTAGGATTAAATATTGTCCGGAACAAGAATGTGATTTTGATTGTGACCTCAAATTTTGAGAATCTGATAACGTATAAAAATCTCTTATAGATCCTAAATAACCCTAAAAACATACAAAGAAACAATAATTAAAATGAAATAACCATTTTTGACGAGTGCTTGGGCATTAGTTGAGGCTGCAATTCCCAGCATTTTTAACAAACACAATTGGTCTATACGAACAAGTCGAAAAAATACTCTCTAAACTGAAATATCTAGAGAGTAGGTAAAAAATGAAACGGATTTAAAGGGATTCAAACGCAAAAATGGCTAATGGAATATAATGACCATTCTTTTGTCAGAAGACGTTTGACTATAATATAATGAAAGCTTACTAATATACTTGCTATCCCGTGGAAAGAGTTTTAACTGAATATTGTGAAAGAAAATCTTATATTTTATTTGCCATAAAATGGCGAGACTCTCAAGTTTTATATTTTTTCACAAAAATGGAATTAATATTTGAAAACAGTTTTTTTTTAAATTTTGTCAAATTTCGAAATTGAACCTTATCAGTAGTATGGAGGCCACATTGATAGAAACGTATTTTACCTACTAAATCATCGAGGGAAAGTAGTATTTACTATGCAGCAATGTGAATTGAGGTTTACACGATCAGTTGGTTTTGCAAGAAAATTTTCAAAATGCACATTCATTTCACATCGAGTTTTTCAATTCAATTAACCTACTCAGTAAGTGGCTATTTGTCTTCAATTTTTAAATGATTTTGTTGATCGTATGACTAGTTTGATTGGTAACATCAGCAAGTATAATTTTAGCGACTTTACCAAGATATTTTCTTAGAAAAAATCACTCTCATTGAGTGATGCAACATTTAAATGTTAGTCATTTGCGTGATTTTTGATAAATACGAGGGACTTCCTCAAATTCCGTATGTAGCTGGTAAAATTTTCACAGCACGATGTGACATATTTTAGAGTGTTATCAGCTGGATACCAATTATTAAAACTTTAATTGTTATTTA